CTTTATTCAGTCTTGTGGGCAGATGGGGTGAAGCATGGACAAGGCTGTGGCACCTCTGCTGCTCAAAACACCCTTGAGGCAGATAATAACTGGGTGTAAAACTGAAAGGCAGCAAAATATTGTCACCTCCCAACATGTGTTCTGACTGACAGCATGGGAGCTTGGAGCGTTCAGCCCAGGCAGCCCAGGCAGGGCACAGGATTGGCTCAGTCTCGAGAATCAGAAGATTCTTGCACTTGGGGGCCAGAGCTGGGCTTCACTCACGGTGCTCCCGGGCAGAGATGTGTGATGGGCAGCCTTGTTCTGCTCAGTGGGCAGCCTGGCAGGTGCACTGCCCACAGGGGCTCTGCAGTGGCTGGAGGTGCTGCTGCCCCTGCCCAGCTCTGCTGGGGACCCAGGCCCTGTCCCCTTGCTGCCAGCATGGCTCTGCCCATCTTTGGGACACCTGAAGCTCCTTGGAGCAGTGTGAGATCCAGGAGGCACTCCTGCTCCTGTGCCCGAGCCACACGGGGTGGGCTGGGCAGGAAAGGACACTGCTCTGGGAATGTGCTGTGGCCAAATCCCTGAAGGGGCTGGGAGCGGGCACGGCGCTGCCCAGGGGAGCTGCTGGCTGGGAGCTCTGTGCCTGTGCACGGCACAGCCATGGGAAATGCTCACCAGAGGTACGAGCAAAGACTGCAGCACCCCGAGATTCCCAGCCCTGGTGTTTGCTCCAGGTGTGCCCAGTCACAATGCACTGACATGATGTTGTAACTGGGCTGATGAGAAAGGAAAGAGAAAACTATCTGAGCTCATCTTATCTGAGACAATCATGCCTGATCAGGAACTGTGTAATTCAGCTGCCCTGCTTAGCCAAAAGTTAAAGAGTTTCTAAAGTTTATTTCCTGTCTTTATAGCAACTGTCTGGCCCTTTATTTATTTTCACTGAAAGCTCCTGGTGTGCTAAAAATAATTTTTTGAGCAATTCTTATGGCAGATTGTATAACAATCACAGGCTGAAGTCAGAGCAGTTGGGAAGCAAAGGATGCCTCCTTGGCCAATCTCTTCTCATGAACTTCCATCACTTTTATTTTTAAGCTTCGTGCTATAGCGTTCTGTGTCCCTCACCACCGAGAAGAGCTGACGGCTCGCATTGTTGTTACCTTGAAAGGGCAGTTATCACGGCTAATCCACCCTCCAAGGTTTTTCCTCAGGATAATTATTGTTTTGGTGATTCATCTTGCAGACCCTGCCCTTCCTTATTCGCACAAAATATCCTACTCCCTGCAATATTTCTGGGTCAGGCTCGTGCCACACATGTGATTTCCTCTTGGGCATGCAAACAACACAAGATGGATTTAAAGGTCAGCCAGCACCGGGCTGGCCACCCTCGGCACTGCCCCAGTGTCACCTGTGGGGACATCGCTACACGGGGAGGGTTTGGGCACGGGGTGGTCAGGTAAAGGTCACTCTTGTGGGGTGGGGGACAGTGCCTCTGTTGTTGTGCTGGAAAATTTCACCACTCCTGTCTTCTTCAGTGGAAAACATTATCACCAGCACATCCTGGCATGTAATTTGGCCTCATTTATTATCGTCGAGTGTTGGCTTAATGCTTATGGTGCATTTCTAAAGTACTTAAGAGAGGGCTGTGGTTTTTCAAGGAAGCATAACTCATGGAGGACAGGGGAGGGAGAATCCTGAAAGTTTTTGGCACCCTAATTTTACTGAACATGAAAAACATAACCTGGGCAGGCTTTAGCATGATCTCTTCATGGCCCAGAGGCCACGGGGAAGGGAATCTGCCCGGCAGGCAGGATTAACTCCTGGGAGAGCTGGGCTCTGCTGTTGCTGCCAGCGTGCTTGTCCGGGTCTGTCCGTACATCCTGTGCTCCCCACCTCGGCTCAGAGCAGGCACGTGGCTTTGTGTTCACGTCAGCACACACAGACAGGATGAAACCCAGAGACGGCACAAAAAGGTGGGTCAGAAGCTTGGTTTGGGTTTGTTTGGGAGCTTTTCCCCTGCTTTGCTGTTTGCACTAGAGGGGTGGGCTCACAGCTCCCAGTTTGTTTCACTCTCCCTGATGGTGTGACACAGCAGGAAAGAGGGAGCCAGGAAAACCTCAGGCTGGATTGGACTGGATTGACCACCTTCACCTGGGGAACTGGAAGTGTTTGAAGGTCCCCAGGGCAGTACAGGCACAGCTCCTGCTGTGACCCTGTCACACACAGGTGGAGCACGACGCCCATCCCAAACACAGGAGGTCACTTTTGGTATTGAGCACACCCAAAGCTGACACACAGCGAGGGAAACCTGCACAGGTACCAGCCAGAGCAGGCTGGGAACAGAGTCTGAGCAGCTCCAGCCTGCCAGCAAACAGTGGGAGGCAGGGACAGCCCCAGCCTGCCCTGCTGCCTCTCCTGGGTGCTTCATGAGCCAGGAGCAGCTCCTGGAGATGTTCCTGCCTGATGTAACTGTTTTTAACACCAAACTGATTTTACATATGATGGTAGTCTCACAAGCCTTGCCTGCACGGTACACAGTTATGACCTGTTTCATGGGAAAAAACACAAAATGGACTATTTTCCTGGCTTTTACTTGGAAGAAGTTAACATGAACTGTGACCACACTGATCTGTTTTGAAAACTCTCCCAGCAGCCTACACTTACATTTACAGTTTCTTTGGATGTTTAACATCAACAGCTCAGAGAAACTGGGGCTGTAGTGGCACAACAGATTCAATCTGCTGCTGCTCCCTTGAATGTTAAATGCTTTGAATTGGCTTCACCATTCTAAAATGCTATTTTTAAAAATGTTCTTTTCCTGGCACAAGAATTCTGAAGCAACAATTCTGAGAACAGCTACCTGGGCAGGGAAAGCTGCTTCCAGTGCCTAAAATATAAAAATCTCTTTTATTTGGGTAAACAGTGCTAAAACACCGATGTTGTACAGGTACACCTTACAAAGATTTGCTTGGGATTTTAAAATTGTACAAGAAAAATACCCAAACTACCCAAGCAATAAGATATCCACTAAATGTGGCCAGTAAATAATCTAAAAATATGAGGGAGGGTTATATTCACCATGGCTTAGGCAGTAGAGAATACAGAGCTTGGTTTGGTTACTTGCCTTATCTGTAGGTAACAGTTTTCAAAATGCTAGGTTGGAATTGATTGGGTTTTGATGAAGCTCCCAAAGATGCATGTTAGAAGAAGCCACCTGTGTACTTTCTGTTAGGTATCAAAACAACACTTTCAAAGCTTTGTATGGAACTCTCACATGAATTTAATGTGCAAATCCATGTTAAAAGCTTTGCTCACCATAAGCAGAAATGTGGAAACTCAACAAATCACCTCTGGAAAAATGGCATTTGTGAGTTATATTCTCAGAAGACTAAAAATAGAGTTCCATCTGTTTGTTTTCCTTTATGAAGTGGCCAACTGTAACACTCCCTTACCAGCCCTAAAAAAGAATTTACATAAAAGATGGTGACGCAAACCCTTATCTCATGACTGTGTCTCATTAGGTCATCCATGGTGGGCAAAAAATTACTTCACTTTTAAAGTGTCTTTGCCATCTTCCCTGACCATGAATCAACTCAAGAAAATATTTTGGGGCATTATCTGCTCAGCAACCTGTTACCTTAAATAGTGCAAACGTGTCAGTGGAAGCTGCAGTACAATCAGAGTTGTTGATCACCTGTAAGGCAGCAGTGACACAGAAACCCTCCCACGGGCAGTCATTAACAGAGCTCAGAGCTGCCCTGGCCAAAGGGCACCAGGCTGCTCTCCTGGGAGAGCTCCACAGCTTCCAACCCTGCTAAGCAGAGCTTTTGGGCACCCAGACCTTTCAGCTCTATTTCATGTTGTGTTGTTTTATTTTATTGTAGGAAAAACACTTGTCATGGCTTATCTGTCCGACAATGAATGTGTTTGGTGCTCGAAAATGAACATCTAAACCCATGCCAGGGCCTCACCACCCCCACAGAGAGGAATTCCTGCCCAAACTCCCATCCATCCCTGCCCGCTGACAGTGGGAGCTATTCCCTGTGTCCTGTTCCTCCATCCCTTGTCCCCAGTCCCCCTCCATCTCTCCTGGAGCCCCTTTAGGCCCTGGCAGGGCTCTGAGCTCTGCCTGGAGCCTTCTCCTCTCCAGCTGAGCACCCCCAGCTCTCCCAGCCTGGCTCCAGAGCAGAGGTGCACAGGAGATGCTTTGTTGTCATCCAGTCACAGAATTTGTTCTAAATCTAAAAGCAGCATTGGACTATTTTCTGTTGCCAATTTTGATGGAGAGAGCTGTGTTTGGATTGGAGAGGAATGGCACAGTGATCAGCTCAGTGCTGCTCTCCACTGAGTGAAACACCCTGTTCAGTACTGAATTTACCAACCAGCACTTCTGACTTTGATTTCTGGAGAAAATTCCTGAGCACTTGCACTCCCCACCAGTCACCTTAAAATCAATAAACAGAGTTCCAGAGCAGCTTAGATTTGGCTGCTGCCAGAGCTGCAGCTCAGTGGAGTCTGAAAATCCCTGGGATATCCCTCTGGGAGCCAACAGTGACACGAATGGGCAGGGAAGGCTTTGTGTACAGCTGGGCTGCATCTGGATCCCGACACAGGCTCTGAGTTTCACAGGAGCACGGTGCTGCCCCTAAAACCAAAGAAAAGGGGATAGCAGGGAGCTGGGGAGGATGGGATTGTTGGGGTATCCTGGGCAGGGCCAAAAGCTGAACTCTGATCCTTGTGGGTCCCTTCCAACTCAGGACATTCTGTGATTTTTAGTTCCTACATTTTAAGAGCGGTTCAAAGGACAACTCCTGTGTTGGCCCTGCTTGAAATACAACACTGTGGTCACTGAATGGGATTTGAAGGACAAGCAGTTTAGTGGTTATTTTTTTCTTTAACAAGGTAATCTTGGAATTTCTTGGCTCCATTTCAGAATTTCTGCAACACAATGGAGTGTCAGAGGCATGGCAATCCAGTGGGAACACAGGTTTTGCCAGGGTTGAAATGTGCAACAGAAAACAGGTATTTTATTAAGAGTAAAAACTTTATCACACACCTCAGAAATATACTTTAAATGCTTTGGAGAATTCCATATGGTCTAATTCACTTCACAATGAGTAAACAAATAGCCTGGTTTATGGCAGGTGTCCCTGCCCATAGCAGGGGTGGAACAAGATGAGCTTTAAGGTTCTTTCCAATCCAAACACTTCTGGGATTCTGTGATACGGTAATAATTAACTCCTGTATCCCTCAGTGTGCTAATAGCATCTTTCACTTCATGGCTGAGCTAAGCAGACATGGCCAAGCTCCTCAAAGCCAACATTCTGAAAGGCACCAGTGCCCCAGCAAGGGCCAGCAGCCTCTGCCCTGAGTGGTCCAGGCTGGCACAGGGCCCCTGGAAAAGTGCCCAGTGCATTTCCCACATCCACACCTTCCTGCTGCCCACTCAGGCAACAATAAGCCTTCCCAGCACTGAGTAGATTAAAAAAAAAAGAAAGTAATATTCTATTAAAAGCTAATAATTATTGTAATAATTTTAAATATTTTAATTTATAGTATGTTAATTAAGAATACTTAATAATTAGTATCTTAGCTAAGTCTTCTCTTAATATGTTAATTAATGCAATGAGTTAATTGTACACTTTATCTCAATCAAGTGTTCAGACAACACCTTCAGGCACAGGGTGGGATTTTGGGGTCTCCTGTGCAGGCCCAGGAGTAGGACTCAATAATCCATGGGGGTCCTTTCCAGCTTGGGATATTCAAGATTCTGTGAATTATTCTGAGTTCAAAATGAAATCCTGCCCTGAGATTAAGGGAAGGATTTCCCTTGACTCAGCTGAACCCAGGTTTAAACAGATCTGTTCCTGTCAAAAGACAGCTCACTAGAGCTGCTCCCTGGCACTGCCCCCACTTCAGCTCTCTGCACTGGAGTTGTACATATTTCATTGCACCTGTGTGACAGTCAGCTGGAACTTGTACCAGCCTTTAACAAGAATCCTATTTCCTGCCTTTGTATCCCTCAGATGCTCATGTACTCTGCTTGTTTCACACTCTTTAATTACTCTCAGACCTAATGTTCCACCTATTTCACTTACCTGTAGGTTTTCCCACTGGTCTGATGAGGTTTGCTCCAAACTGGGGAAGAGCTGCAGAGTTCTGTGCATCCCTTTCCTTGCAGCACCAGGCAATTGGGGCAGTGCTGGGCAGCTGATGAACTCATCAGGAATTACATCAGGCTCTGAGAACAGCCTCAGCCTTGCTCTCTGTAAACAGACATGAAGGGAAGGCTCTGGCTGCTCTTTCAGCATAAACCCTTCAGTGGTTTGTACCAGGACCCAACAGCTTCAGCAGCCACAGTGGGAGTTGGGACAAATTTACTCTTGCAGGAGTTGGGAATTTCAAATTACACCTCTCCTTTTCTTCCTTATCCCTCCTCATTTTAGGGAGCTACTGCAGAAACCACTTCCAGCTGAGAATCAGGGTTAATGTGCAGTATTTTGGGACACTGGGATTGATTGACCACTGGTTGCCCCTTTCCCTTCATTTACAGACTTGTTGAGAGTGTACTAAAGGCTGTGTAATACATAAAGTGAGGTACACAGGGAGTAGCAAACTCCCTCAGAGAACTGCGACTTCCATGACTTGAGCCTTTCCCTGCTTTTATGTTGTGCTGGGTTTAAGTAACCAGCTCAACATCTTCTGTATATGGAGTTTTAATGTCAAAGGAGTATTTTTTCAGAAACATTCTCCTATTTCAGAAAGGACCTTTTCAGTCGCCAAAAATACAGTCCTTAGTAGCATTATGTGGCTTGCAATAGCTTTATTTTGAAGACTGCTTTAATACAACAGGCTGGAAGAGAACAGTGTCTGATTTTCTAATGCCTCTTTACTGGAGTGGTTTCAAGTGTCTGAAACAAACCAGCCTAAAAATCCAATTCCACTACAACCAATAGAACAAATAAGAACAAATCTGATTTCTCGTGTTGCAACAACACACACACTGACATCTGATGCCTCCAGTAGCTCCTGCCAGGACTCATCTTTACAGAACTATGACATTAAATTCACAGCTTCAGCTTGGGGACTGAAGGCCACACCATGCTCTGATGGCTCTAGAATTGAGGGAGGTCTTTTGTTCTTCTGGGAGGCTCAGGTAAAAGCAAAAACTTAGCTGAACTTGTCTCTTGACCAGTGTACCTGAGACTTGTCTTCCTCTCTTTCAATGATCTTTGTTTTCCCCTTGCATATATATCAGGTGTTTTATCATTTGTCTTGTAAAGCAAAAACCTGTCTGCACCTATGAATCCAGCTCGCTGCTTACCCAGGGGCAGAGCAAGAGGGAATTTTTGGCATAAAGATGTCACAGAATCTTTCAGGCTGGAAAAGGCCCTTTGATAGAATCTAACCATTAACCCAGCACTGACAGTATCTACTATCCCATCTGTCCCTGCCCCTCCATCCCTTGTCCTCAGTCCATCTGCAGCTCTTCTGGAGCCCCTTTAGGCCCTGGAAGGGGTTCTGAGCTCTCCCTGGAGCCTCCTCTTCTCTAGGTGAACATTTCCAGCTCTTCCAGCCTGGCTCCAGCCCTGGGAGATAGTCCAGGGACTCCTCTGGACTCTCTCCAGCAGTTCCACATCCCTCTTATATGGGACTCTCAGCTGCCACGCCCCAAGTTCTCAAAAAAAGCATTACGTTTTTAATGCACCAAGCTCCCCTGCCATGACCATGGCACGAGCACCCAGAGCCCCTCTGCAGGCAGAGGGATGTTCATTAGCAGTGGTTTCTCTCCCAGAAAAAGCCCAACAGGTCTCAGGTTTCACACCACAGGGGGAATTCAGAGCACACCATTCTGCATGGAAGGGCACAGCACACAAATCGCTCTCCTGGGATGTAGATCTGGGCTGGGGCTGTGTATTCTATTTTTGGAGCAATACTGGAATGTTTCCAAGACCACCGTGACACAATCACGCACTATGGGTGGTAAACAAGTCCCCACTACAGCTGCAGCCCTTCCTGCACTGCTTGCTGAGCATTCTTTCACCACTGCCTGTATTACAAGGGCTCTTGGCATGCTGTCACCTCATCCTTGCACCCCTCAGAATACACACATGGGAAAGGCAAACCAGCCCTGAGCCCACTGCACAGCTCCCCCCCACTGGGTGGAACCCACAGACACCTCAAGGTGAGAAATTACCTGGTGAGACAACACTGCTGAACCAGCAGCTGCAGTGGGTAGCAAGGATTTAAACCTTTTGTAAGCATACCACGTATGCCTATAAAATGTTAGGTATCATTAAAGCTTTTAAGGCACTTGGTACTTCCAAAATCAAACTCACAGTGTTTCTCTGCCTGAGCCTTACCTGTAGATACTTACCAGCTGCAATTATGTTAGGACTAGTCAAGATTTTTATGCAGCAACTTAAACTCAAGGTCAGAAACCAGGTCTGGAACAAGCAGAGCTCCTGCACATTCAGCAGTAAATAGATGTTCCCTACCCAAGCAGTGAAGTCTTGTATCAAAGATCTTAAACAAAAGCTAATACTAGAATAATTAACACTCTAATTATGAGTATTGGAATTATAGTGAAGACCAAACATGGCCTTGAGTTTATTTCAATGCTGGCAGTGTTTCTTCCTCTAAACTTCACATCTTCATTTGGGAGAAAATAAAGGCAATTCACCATCAGTTGCACAAAATGCTGTATTTTATTAACTAAATTTAAAAAGTGCAGTTAAAATCACACAAAATGTTCAATATAAGCAATACTTAACATGTTTATAAGCTAGGACTGTGTCTGATTTGCAATTTAAATGTGGCTGGTGTGAGCACAGCACATTAATGCTGCAAGGTGCTCAGAACTGACATCACACTATCCCACAAAACAGTGCCCTACCAGACCTACTGCTGTGGTGCACTGCAATTACATCAAAAACATGGACTGATTTTAACAATTCCATGAGAAACCACACCACCATTTTTAACTGGAAACTTCCCTCCTGCACTGTAAATAATGCACCACTGAGAACTTGTTTCACTGGGAGTGCCCATGCCTGGTGAGAAAGCACCAGCTTCCAGGGGAACTGGAATCTGATACTTTTCGGGAAAAAAAACCTGGAGTTTTTCTACTTGAAATGCACCAAGCCAAAGGAAGATGTATTTCAGCTCCCTGTGAGCACACAGTACCAGTACTGTGATATTCAGCTCACACCACCTCCACCCTAACCTCAGGGGCCTCCAGCTCACTCTGGAAGGAGCTGCCTTCCCAGCACAGCTCTTACTTACCCCAAAGTGGCATGTGCAGCCCCAATGTCACCGTGCTGCATTCTAGCCAGCATTCCTACACTTCCATTGGGGACCAAATCTGCTAAAACACAGTTTTCATTACGCCCCAGCACGCTTAGAAATACCTTGTCCTTTCTCTCCATGTCCCAAAGCTTCAGAGTTTGCAGGCTGGAGCCCAAAAGATCCTGGTGTTATAATAAAGCCCTAAGAAAGGCAGCAGGTTGTATAGTTACCTCCTTGTGAGCAAAATCCCTGCCCTAAAACTATGCAACCTACTACCTCTTCCTAGGAGCCCCACGCTTCCTCTGTGCAGTTCTTCACTCTGCAGGACTTAGCTCCCCAGCTGCTCTGCTCTTCTGCCCTGGCTGGGCACACACTCCAAGGTGACACTGTCAGCACTGACAACAGTGGCTCACTGCCTGTAACACTCACCAATGGCTCCATTTTCACTCTGCCTAAGCTGAACTTCCCATCCCAAAAAGCATTTATTTCTGTGGGGTTTTTTGTTACTACAGCCAGCTGCTTGCTGGGCATGCTAGCACAGAACCAGTTACAGACTGGGTACACAGGAGGAAAGAGAATGCAATAAACTTTAAAAGTATTTTCATAGAACAATACCACCTCAGAGAAAAATTCTGGCTCTTGGATGCTCAAACTCCATAGCTTCACACAACCCCAGAATGGTGAGAGGTCAGTTTTGGACAAAATTGGCCAACACTTAAATTTTGCATTAGATCTGGAAAAGCTGCAGAAAAACACGCAGACTTAACAAAGGGTAATTTTAAGTTTTCCCTCCAACTTCTGTCATGGAGTTTGAATGTATTATGGAAACTGGGGTGCCAGAGGAGTTTAAGTCACAATGTACAAGCTTGAACTTCCTGCATTTCATGTTCTTCTAAGTGGCTTGGAATTACTTCCCTCTGTGGAGTGTTCTACCCTCTACCTAAAGCATGGGCATTTTCCATTCCCAGACAGCACTATGCCACTTAACTTGGGAGCAAAGTTATGTCAAGTCAAGGCTATTCTGTGGGGGTTGTACCATTCACACTGACTGTCAGTCCTATAAATTCTGGCACTGCTGCTTTCCAACCCTGAATTCATCTGGTTTCACTCCATAGTGTTTTTAGCCCAGGACTGGCTGCAAGGGAGCGCAGTTTGTTTTACTCCTCAGGGAAGGCAATAGATTGTATAGTTATCTCCTGAACAGGGTAAAATAACTACCCTACAACTATACAATCTACTACCTCACTCTGACAGAGAAGCACAGACTTCAGCAAGAGCTCAGCAGCCAACCTCAGTTTCATTCTGAAGGATGTTTGATAAAACACCTCAACAACTGGAACACCAAGAATCTGTATTTGATTACCCCACCATACACATACAGAAATAATCTATTCTTAACATTTTACTCATTAGGGCAGAAAAATTAATACAGAATGAAACCTTGCTTTTCCAAGAACTAGAAAAATCTAAACACAATTCCCACATCTATTACACAAGTATTTTGTCCTGTCATAAGCACTACAAGTACAGAAGTTCAGCAAAATCTGACATTGAGCTTAAAACTGAAAAGTTTCCATTGTTGATTATCTGCTGCTTTAGGAAAGACAGTAGATTGTATAGTTATCTCCCAGTGGTGGGTATGACCCTAAAACTATACAACCTACTACCTCATCCCACAGTGCAGGCATCTTCAGAGCTGGGGCAGGATTGCTGCTTCAGTCAAGCTAAGTCAGGCTAGCTGCAGACAGCATTTATAACACTCACCACAGAGAAAGCCTTCCCCTTGCTCCCCCTAGTCACAGACGGAAGTTATGTTAAAAATAAGGCTTCCATATTTCAAAATTTTACCAAATGCCTGGGTCTTAAGTAAGCAAGCTGTAGCAGTCGTAGCAACAACAGTCATTAAACTTCTGTTGAATTACCAGTCATGTTCCACAGGTGTCAGTTCTCACCTGAAATCAGAAGAAAAGGCTCTCAGCAACACTGTAGGCACGTATACATTTCTTCCTCTTTAGAACTTAAAAATGATGCAATCTAGGACTACAGCTATGTGACTCATTTATACAATCAGATTGAGGCCCTAATATTTGTAATCCTGATTAAAAAAATATTATTACATAGAGTGACCTTTTCACCTATTGCACCAATATCTTAAAAAAAAAGGTCATGCACTGTCCAAAGTACTGCTTGGAACTTTTCCTGCTAGTCTTAAATTATGTTAAGCCTTGTGCACAGGAATTGTTTTATTAGAAGTAAAACTCAACAAGATTATGGCCTCTATCCTGACATTTAGTTGTTAAACTGCCTTACCAAAAGGCCACTGAAAAGACATGTTTTCCCATCAGAAAGAAGTCTGAGTTTCTCTAACTGCCTCTGATGTAACTCTAAAGCCAATTTCCACATTAACATAGCTCAACATCATCTTTGAATACTGAAATGAAAACGCTTGCCAGACAGATGTGTGACTCAGAATTACCTTTGTAGCAAGGACAGCTTGAGAACAGGGCTGGAAAGGAAAACGATTGTTTGTCCGGGTAGTTTATACAACAGCTGAAAATGTTTAGAGATAAGCAGTTTTTAAAACTCTAAATACATGTTACTAGTACTCGATCCCAGTTGCAGCCTGCAGTTTTCAGCCCACTCTCCAAACAAAGCCTGCACAGAACAAGAACACCCTCATGCCCGCTGGTGTCCTTGCCAAGCACACAGCGCGTGATCCCATGCACTCACACAAAGGGATGACGTTATTCCTTGGACAGACACAAAATCAAATTACTTTCCAGCTCCCTCAGTGCCTTACTACAGAATCCTTTATACAAATAGTGATGACAAATTTGGGTGAATCAACCTTAAAATCTCACTTGTAATTGGTATAAATCCCATTATGTGATTTTGCTATCTTACACATCTACCAGAAAATAAACTTCAGTGTGGACACAAGTACGTGGTCCTGATGCCCAAAGCAGGAATAAATCAGAACAGCAGTTCTGGGCCAGAGTCAAATTATTACAGAGCACTGGCCCCCATTGCATCCTTTTAAATCAGTTCTGGCAGAGCTGACATTCCTTTCAGCTCCCTGCTCCTGCATCCCAGACTTCAGCAGCTGAGCAGAATCCCTGTGAAATCCCATTCTTCAGGGGAAATGCAGCCTGGCCTGGAGCTGAGCTGCACAGCACCAACTCTGCACCTTCAGTTGGATAGTGACCCCAGGAAGTAAATGAAGTCCAACATTCAGTGTCTGAAGCTGATTCCGTGTCTGAAGCTTTCTGTGATGTACTGAAAATGTTCGCAACACACTGAAAACCTGAATGGGTGTTACACACCTGTTTAAATTTTACAAAATTTAAGGAAATGCTTCTGCATTTCTTTTTGAAATTAAGGCTGAAAGACACAAGGATTGCAAGAAACCTAGAAATCAATCTGTTTCATTTCTCCACCTTTCGACAAAGCTTAGCTGCAAACTTAACCAACCTGACATGTATCAAATAACTTTTATTTTTAGCATTCTGCTTTACATTAATACTGCATTTTGGGGCATTTTTAACTTGTGGATTATTTCTAACCGTCTTTCCAAGATGCATCACCTAAGTTGCCATGTTCTTGGACAGGTGAGACCTGCCAGGTCCCCTTGGGGTCATGCTGTGGGCTGCTTCTCTCATACCATGCATCAGGGGGTTCTGGCACCCACAGCAGCAGGGAAGCCTGACAAATTATCCTGCTGGCACAGCCTCTACTGAGCTGGTGTGTTCTCATCCCCAGTGAATCCAGAGCTGCAGAAGCTCCCTGCTGCTGATGTCACCGTGCTGCTGATGTCACAGCAAGTGCAGCACAGGAGCTCAGGGTCATGCACCTGCAATTTCACTCTTTCAGCACAACACACTGTGGAATACAAGCTTTAAACAATCCCTGAGTCATCTGCTTTCCCTGTTAAAAAAGCCAGGTTCCCAAGGGCTCCTTTTCCTTCCAGCGTTTGTGTTTAAAATCCCCAGAGCAGTGCAAGGGGACAAACTGACTCCAACTGAGGAGCTGGATGATCTCAGCAGCCGCAGCTCCCAAGGCTGCGTGCGGCTCTGGCTGCACAGCTCCCACCACACGATGGAGCCCCGGGATTTACACAACAGCTCCAACACAATTCTTCAGCTGTACCCCTGGATTCCAGCAGCACCCCCTGCACTGAAGCCACACTTCCTGAATCCCAGGAGCTTGCAGAGTGAACATGTACTGCCTTCTCCAGCTGTGCTGAGCACCCCAAGTGACTGACGCAGGCTCCTGCCTCAAATGTGCTCATTTCATGGGGTTTTTGTGTGACTGGAGTCCACAACAGGAAGAAAGGGAGCAGCACAAATTAACATAAACTTAATTATTCCTGATACTGCTTCCCCTCACTCCACTCACCCACCCCTGCACTGCCTGTCATCACATGCAACAGGCACATCTCAGCCCCTCTTCCCAAAACAAGCTCAGGAAAATCAGATAGTGACTGACACAAAAGTTTCAGCATAAAATAAAAATGCTTCCTCTTCCATATTCAGTTTTGGATTGTACCTTCCTTTGTCTTAATAACGTGTTAATTTGAAGGTAACATCTCCCAGCACAAGTCCAGGCACCTCTTCTTCCCCTATGCAGATCCAAAACTGAAACATTTAATGCCTCCTTTTGGACCTGCCAGCCCACTGGGCAGCAATACGCTGGAGCAAGAGTAAATCACACTAGAAGCTGCTCTGAACTGGGAAATTATACTGAGGAGAAAAGGAGAACAAGCAGTTCCAGCACAAACAAATGCAGAGGTGTGCTTTTGGGCAGCACCACAGTCCACACCACCAAACAGGAATACATATCCACAACGGTATTTTTTGGAATTTTTTATACAACATTAAGATTAATAGCACTGACTGCTACTGATAATGCCTTTATCTATTGCCTCAACTGGAAATACAAGGTTTTTTCCCAAAATCTCTACCCCACTAGCATTTAATTAACACAGTGCATTCTGGCTTTAAGTAATTATCACAAGATATTACTGTTGTGCTACATTTTTGATTAGTGTGTTTGGTTTCAATTGATTTCAATTTATTTTTCAAACCATATGAATATCCAGAAGCCATGGCCTGAGAGAAATGGGACATCACCTCTGCCCATTCAAGCACAGAGTGCAGCCCATCTCCTGTGGAAAAGTCTGTGAGCACGATTAATGATTTCTGCTACGAACACAGAACACAAATCCTGGCCTCTCTCCCTACACACACTTGGTTTTATAGCAATAGTACTAAACTCTCTGCATCCAAGTGATGCATGTGCCACAGCACTGCACAGTGCTGCTGGAAACCTCAGGAAGGCCTGAGAATGCCTACACCACAATGGTCACATTCTCTACTCCTCTTTGAGTACTCCTCTCTCAGAACACAGAGAGGGAGATCTCTACAAATAAATAAATAAACAAATAAATAAATGTACACTTCAGCCTCAAACATTACGAAGGCCTCAGTGCCCTTCTCAAAGGAAAGCATCAGTTTGGTTATCTGGCCCTGCTTCAAACATAAATGTGTGTGTACATATATACACATTATATATGAAATGCACAACTGTGTATTTATTCACTAGATTCACATCTCCTAGAACGTGCTAGGAGCAAGGAGGCTTCTTCTGCAAAAAGTTTACAAATTACAACAATTACACAAATTCAGCAAGAAAGTTAGTGCACAAAAGATGGCTGTTATGTTAATAATTGGCAAACATCTATTACCCTCTCTGAGTCCTGGGAGCCTTTCACTATTTGCAAATGAACTGATGTTTTCCACCACTAAAACCAGAAGAAAAGAGAGAAGACATTTATCAAAAGGAAAGTGAAGTAGGGATAGAGCTCATTGCAGTAGGAAAACAAAGCAAGTGAAGTCATGTTTTATCTAAACTTCCTTTAGACTGAGGAAGTACTAAATCTCCAGTATTAGTATGCAAAATCACTTCCTAGCATGACCTATGTGATTTGAGGTTGCACATAAGATACAGAGTACAACTTGGGAAAAACTCCGTGAACAAAAATCAGAGCCAGTAAATTTCCATTAAAAATATCACAATACAGCTATTTACTAGGACCCTCTTCATGAGGCTAACTATCATAGGGAAAAAAACCTTTCACTAGCCCATTACTGCACGTGGGCTGCAGCAAGTTTCAACCACCACTGCAAAAAACTTCTTGGAAGTTCAGACTATTAAACATCTGAGTGTTTCTGTGAAGAGAACTGTCAAACTTGACAACAGAAGCCACCACAAACTGTTTGGTGAGGCCCCTGGCAGCTGGGGATGTTTGAAAATGCCCCGTTTCCTAAATATTATTTAAGTTATTGCTTTTGAAGGGACAGATGGATTTTCTCAAAAATTCTGTGATGGATTGAATTTGCCCACTGCTGTAACCGACCATGTTCCTGTGTACAATTTGAACAGGAGCACGTTTTCCCTACCAGTTAGGCACCTCTGTCACAAAACTGCCTGTGCAAAGCAGTACAGAGAGCAGCACCAACAAGATGGGAAAGGCACATTACTAAACACGGATTATCCCAGCCTTGACCATCAGGTTGAGCTTTTACTCCTCAAATAAATCACAGAATTGTTACGGTTGGAAGGGACCTCTGGAAATCATCCAGTCCAACCCCCTGCCAAGGCAGGGTCACTCAGAGCAGGTGACACAGGGATACATCCAAGTGGGTTTGGAATGTCTCCAGAGAGGAGTCTGGAGATGTCTCCACACCCTCCCTGGGCAGTCTCTTTCAGTGTTCTACCACTCTCATGGAAAGCTGTAACATAAAATCATAAAACCACAATTAGATGGGGTAAAACCCCCCTCTAAAGCTGACTGAGCCGTGCCAGAATGAAGTCACCAGCAGCAGCTACAGCGTGCCAGGGCCGGATCCTGCCCTGTGCCACCACCAGCCCTGCAAGAGAACCCACATGCGCTGTGCCCTGAGCTGGCCCGGGGGCTGAGCGGCCCATGCCAAAGGCAAGAGCCACGCCTGCAATGCCCAGAGGCCAGCCACAGCTGCGGACACCAAGTGCGACTACGTGTTACACCGGGCCCCTGTGCTCCATCGGGGTGCTGCTGCTCAGGTGCGCAGCCAGCCCCGAGCACGCCGTGGCCGCCCTTGGCTGCGATGTGCCCGTGCCACCCCACAGGCTGCCGGGCAGGGCCGCGCTGGCCCCAACACCGCAGCTCCGGAGCCACTTCCAGGCCAGGCGGCTGCTGAGGAGGCGGCGGGAGCCCCGGGGGCGACGGCCCGGGAAGGCGCAGCCCCACGCCCGGCAACGCTGCTCGCTCCAAACGACAGCCCCCGTGCCCCCCAACAGGGGCCGGGCCGCTACGGCACTTCCACCTACTTCCGAAGGGATTTTCTGCACCTCTCGGCCCCAGCTCAGCCCCCAGCGCGGCCCTCCCGGTGCCCTGGCAGGGCCGAGCCCCCCCGGCCCCGGTACCAGGGGGGCTCCCCCGGCCAAGGTCCCCCCGGCCCCGGCAGTGACGTACCTGGCGCCGGCGGCTCCCGGGGGCGGCACTTCCGGAGCTTCCAGTGAGCCTGGAGGAGAGCGGGAGAGAACGAGGGGAAAAGGCATCGGTGAGGGGAATAAGGACAATGAACCGGGCCCGCGGCAGAGGCGGCGGGGAGGCCGGGCCGAGGCCCCGCGGCCGCCCGCACGGACCCTTCGGCTCAGCCCCTCCGCCCCCACCCGTCCCCCGGCGCNGGCCGCGCCGTCCCGGTACTTGCGGGACCCGGATGAAGTCGCGGCCGCTGCGGCCGCCGCTCCCGCGGCACCACGGGAAGGGCGCCGCGCCCCGCCCGCCGCAGCCGCCTCCCGCCAGTCAATCACCCGCCGCCTCCCGCGCCTATTGGCCGCGGAGCCGTAAAGTCCCGCCCCCGCCCGGGAATGTAGCTCTTCATTGGTCAGCTATGAATAGGGCTCCGCCCCCCTCCGCCATTTATTTCGGGCGCGTTACAGAGCGACCCCGTAATGGCGCTCCCGGCAGCCGCGGGCCGCGCCCGCCTTTCCCCGCCTCCACCTCGGCCCTGCCCTGCCCTGCCGGGCGTAGGACGGCCCGGCCCGGTCCGGTCCTGCCCTGGCCCTGCCGGGGGTGAGCCCTGCGGCCCGGCCTGGCCCTGCCCTCCCCGCGTCTGCCTCTCGGGCGTTGGGTGCGCATTAGCAGCATTACCGGGCTCGGGGGCCTTGGCCTCCCCGCGGCCCATCGCACAGAATCGTGGAATCATCAGGGGTGAAGGAGCCCCTTAATGTCACCCAGCACTGAGTGTGTGACCCCTAAAGCACCCAGCGCCACACGCAGGCAGCTTTGGCACGCCGCCGTGGATGGTGACTCCGCCGCTGCCTTGAGCAGCCAGCCCCTCCAGTGCCCGACCACCTGAACAATGAAAACATTTTTCTGATATCTGATCTGAATCTCCTCTGTCTCAGCTCAAGGCCATTTCCTGTGATCCTCTCACTGCAGGCACACCACCACCTCGCCAGGGTCCAAATAACCTTTTCTGGTTGTACTCCTGATTGGTTTTTGTAGCGTTTGGGGGATGCACCGTGTCTGCAGGGAGCATCAGCCTTTCAGAGGAGAAGTGGTCCTTCAGCTCCTTATTGTGTCTGCAATATCACACTCATCAGCACTCATACAAGCTCAGGGAGAGAAATGCTATGTTTAAAATTGGACTTCAAACATAGCATTTGCTTTCCATTTTCACAAGATTTTTGGGATAGGTCTTGATTCTAATAAAAGTATTGCTATAATACTCAATATAGTATTTATAATCTCTCCAGCGAGCCTTCAATTAGATTATTATGTATATCTATGTATAATGATATTCAGTGTCAAATATTGAAGTAAATAAAACTGTGAATTCACAATGTATTTTTGTCAGAATTTTTTTTTGTTTGGATTAATTTTTTTAATAATGAAATTTGTCAGTTCTTAACAATTTTTTTTACATATATAGAGTTGGAATTATGAAGTTTATGTGTGTCCGGTGTCTTGCTTCAAAAGTACTACTTCAAAAGTAGTAATTTTTATCCCAGGTTCAGGAAGGGAACGTGTGCCTTGGTGGTGGTCATGAGAGCAAGGAACATACTGAACAATGACCCAGCTACTGAGTGGGTAAGGCAGATGCTTTGAACGTTGTTCAAACTAAATCACGATGCCTTGACAGCTAAAATGCAGGTTTTAATCTTGCGGAGGTAAAACTTTATGAAGTCAATCCATCACAGTACTGCGTGTGCTCTGCAATGCCGAGTGTGTTTTGCCCGCTTTTCCGAGCGCAGGGCGGCTGCTGCACTTTTCCTGGAGCTCACGAGATGGGGCAGGAGCCCCGAAGGAGCGCGGCCCGGAGCGCTCCGGGCTCTGCGGTGTTTTTAATCTTGCAGAGGTAAAACTTTATGAAGTCAATCCGCCTGGCTGCTGCACTGCGTGTGCTCTGCAATGCCGAGTGTGTTTTGCCCGCTTTTCCGAGCGCAGGGCGGCTGCTGCACTTTTCCTGGAGCTCACGAGATGGGGCAGGAGCCCCGAAGGAGCGCGGCCCGGAGCGCTCCGGGCTCTGCGGTGCCGCCCCCGGCCGGGCTCTCCCCGACACCGCTGGCTCACAATTGACTAGGAGGAATTATCGCACGGTATTTGCCAGGAGTGCTGCTCGGAAAAGGGCAGGCAGATGTGCCTCCTTTCAGTCATAACTTTGGAATAAACTCCTGTATCTTAATGCTATTTTAAAAATAACTTTGATGTGTAAGAACTTTGTGAGGTATTCATGAACAGTTATGATTTCTAATAAATACATTTTTGACTTAGTAGGGGAGTTAGCACTTATAGGATAGAAAGTGAGCAGATTTCTAAAATGGAAAGAGATGGTGAAAAATTCACAGCAAGTTTATGTTTTCTGCATGCTCTTTAAAGATTTGGGATGACTGTCTTTTCTCCTGGGTACAGATTTTTTCAAGCTCAAATTTAAACCTCTCCAGTGAGCTTTCAATTAGATGATTTGATAACAACCTAACAGGTTCCTCCATCCCTCAATTAAATGATCTACAAAGGAAATAATAAGTAAAATAGTTTGAGTGATGCAGGAACACCTTATTTCTCTGATAATTCAGTGTAATGTAGAAAAACACTTTGCTGTAAGGCTTGAGTAGTTATCAAGACCGTATTATTTGGGTGCTGCTTTTAGCCAGAGGTACAGAAACCATGTAAGTCATTCCTCATCTGTTTTTAAATACATCATGTGTTGTACACAGATAGGAAATTAGAGTGAATGGATTAATGACTGAAAAAAAACCTAGTAACGGGACAGGTGTAATCATGAAGAGCTGAATCAGGCTGACTGTGTCCACATACACTGATCAGACATTGCTTTTTGGGATGACAAAGCCTGATTCTCATCTCAATCATGCCCCAAAACCCAGCACTGAGCACACAGCACACACTCAGTGTCGGGTGGAAGGACTGGTGCTGCCTGAAATAGTGGGAATCACCAACATGAGTTGAATTATGGATTTGACAATGCTATTGCATGTAGAACAATGAAATGTCTCACTTATCCAATGGCGTATAACCCAGTTCTTTTTTTTTTAAAAAAACAAAACAAAACAAAACAAAACAAAACCAAAGATTGAAAGATTGGATGCAGTTACCTGACAGGACATTCTCTCCTCAGTGGGAGGGTACCACTTGAGATAAATCCCACAAATCCTGCCCCAGCCTGAAAGTTACAGCAGGACTCTGAGGTCACAGCAGGGCTCTGGGGTCACAGCAGGCTGAGCTCTCAGCAGGCCCTGAGGTCACAGAGGTGCCAGAGCCCCGTGGTTGCACAGCAGCACAAGGAGCCAGCAGTCAGTCCCAGAGCACAACTGTTGCGGCAGCAGCGGCGGTGGCAGCAGCGGTGCTGACATTGGGACAGCGGTGACAGGACAGCGGTGGCAGCAAGAGCTGCGGGACTGGCGGAGGACAAGGCACCATGGCACTTGCTCTGCGCCTCCTCCTCCTGCTGCTCCTGGCCGTGGCCCTGCCTGCCAGGGCTGCCCAGGCTGCTCCGCTGCAAGCGCGGCGAGCAGGTGAGCCGGCAGCCTGGCTGCCCTTTCCTGGGACACTGTTCCCATCTCGGGAAGCGCTGGGGATGGTTTTCTCTGTGTGTGAGGGAGAGAGTCCCAATGGGCCCTGGGCAACCCCATATTCCTCTCCTGGAATGTTGCACAGGGCAGGGAAAGAGTGTGGAGAGTGACCAGGAGCCAGCCCAGAGCTCCCCAGGCCCCTGTGCAGCTGTGGCCATGTCCATTCACATCTGGCTCCCATGGCCTTACCCAGCCCCCTGCAGTGCCCACTTCCCTAAGTCAGAAGGGGATCCCAGCACACTATGAATTACAGAATCATGGAATCACTGGGTTGGAAGAGACCATCAAGATCATCAAGTCCAACCCATCCCTAATACCTCAACTACACTATGGCATGAAGTGCCACTTCCAGTCTTTTTTAAAACACATCCAGGAATGATAACTCCACCACCTCCCCGGGCAAACTGTTCCAGTACTTCACCACGCTTTCTGTAAAAAGCTTTTTCCGAATATCCAGCGTATATTTCTCTTGGCAAGCTTAGGACTGTGTCCTCTCATTCTGTCAGTTGATACCACGGAAATGATTCTGATCTGTGCTCCCTTGTAGATTGGGATGCTAGAAATGTTTTTCTGGCACCTTGGCTGGAAGATAGATTGGATCCAGGTAAGATATCTATATTTACCATAGAATAGTGATTGACAACCTGGCAAGAACCAGGTGACAGAAGCTTCTGTGGTTGTTGTGTTACAGATGTGTCTGCCCAGGGGAATTTTCCAGCTCCTGGGCTGGATGAAGCACGCAAGCCCAACTACCATGGCAGGGGTGAGTAGTGTGTCCCTGCTGCCCCCACAGGCTGAGCCCTGCTTTTGTGGGATCCATTCCTGGGAAATTTAAGTGCTTTCTCTTAACTTCCTCCAACAGGACAGACCCACGCTAAAGGAGAATATGAATCCCTGACACCTTCTGAACTTCTGGACCAGATGCTGAATGATCTGGAGAGACGCCGTGGTGGGTGCATTTCCCTCATGCTTCCCCTGGGACTCAGCAGCCGGGGCCTTTGGCTGCACATCTGGACACGCCGTGCCCGGCACAGCGGGAAGGGATCCATGGCAGCCTCGCTGCCCCACTGCTGCTTCCATGCCCATCAGGGCTGCTTCCCAGCCTGGCCTGGCTGCAGCTTCTGCCCAGCCTCTGCAGGAAGGCATTGGGCATTAGCTCACAGGCAGCCCCAATTGCACAACAGGACATGCTCACCCTGAGATTCCCTGCAATTTCCCGGTGTCCAGGCAGATCAGGAGGCACAACTGTTTGGAGGAGGAAGGGTTTTAGGGAGAGACCCCAAAGCCCATCTGATTTCCTGAAGCCTATCCATGACTTTGACAAGCATTCCCACCTGAAGATGACACCTATCCAATGGGGAGCACCTCCATCTGATCCAGCTGTCCCTCTTCCTTTCCCCAGAAATGAAAGGAGAGCCGATCTGGCTTCCCAACCCATGTCCAGGACTGAGCCTCTGGGAGATGGTGAAGGTAAGTCAAGGCTTTCCTCCCTAGGAGAGCTGCCAGCTCATGAGCCCAAAACTTGGCCAGGGAGACAGAGCTGCGGGTGACAGCACAAAACAATGCACGTGTGTGACTCATCCTACGCTTTCCCCTCACAATTTCTGCTCAGCACTACCAGTTGTTTGGAGGAGGGAGGGCCCTGGCCCAGCCCCAAAAGCCCAGATATTTTCTGAATCTTATCCCCATTTTTGATTATCAGGCTGCCCTGAAGATGGCACCAAAGAAATGGTGAATTGTTCCACCTGATCCAGCTGTTGTTTTATGTTTCTAAAGTGATGGACCAAACATCTGTGCAGAAGGAGGCACATCCTGGAGGAAGCATTTCCCCATGGGCAGCCCCTGCTACAGGAAGGAAGGCGATGCCAGACACGGGCACAGGCACAGCAGGTAATTGCTGTGCCGGGCTCAGCCCTGGCCGGGTCATTTGGGATAAATTACGAATCATTTGGTCGTGATAATAGCGTATAAGCAAAA